AGTGTAGCGAGGCTAATACCCGAGTGAACTCAAGTATCGTGAGAGAGTTAGGCTAATAACCGAGTCGATCACACCTATCGTCGAGAGCAAGGTCGTGGCGAAGCCGTGATCAAGACAAGACAAGTGAACGCAACACCCGATCCTTCATCACCCACGCCGTCCGCGTGTCGCTCTAACCCTCGCACGCACCCTCTCACTCGCTCGTCCTCTCGCGCGCATCAAGTCCCGATGCGCGTCGCTGGCTCGTACCTGCCCACCCGCATGTACTCGCACATCCGTTCATTGGCCCATAGCAATCCCCCTCGCGCGCCATCCACCCAACAACCTCCCCCTGCGCGCCACTTCGCCTAATGTCCAAGCGCCATGCACGTCTACGCCATTGCGTGTGTGCGCGCCCTTGTCCACTGTCTTGTACACGCCGCTTCTCATGTGCGTGAGTGTCTCGCATACAATCTCGTACCCGTCTTTTAGGCCATGCATGCGTCGTTTTGGCGCTTTTCCCGGCCTCATAGGTTTGTCTCGGCTCTTGGTCCTTCTCGTCGTCAGGGGTCAAAATCCACTTACGCATCAGGACCGCGAGGCGCTGCGCGTTGCCTGTCCGCGGAGGCAGTTGCTGGCAGTGCCAGCGGCACGCCATGTAATATCTCGATATTTTATCGATATAAATTATGTTTTAATTCCAATATAATAATGTTATCGTTTATTATTTTTGGAATTAATTATGTTCAGTCGAGAGTACCGAAATTTATTTTCGACGTACCGTTTACGTTCGGAATAATTTTGGTAATTAAGCATTATGTTTAATTAAATAATTAAACATAAGTAGTGATTAATTATTGAATTAATCACACACTTAAGCCATAATGTCGTGACTTAGGGCAAAGATTTCCTAAGTATAACTAAATGGCCGTAAGTTTCCTTAGCTTAGGGAAATAAGTCTTCTCCCAATCAAATTAAGTCACTTGTCAACTAAAGAAGGTGCTTAGTCATTTAATAAGCTCATGAGATCCTAGCAAATGTCAAGAAAGGGAGAAGCCACGCACCAAACACATCACACCATCATCCCCCATCGGCCGTGTATAAAAAGGGGGACTTGAGCCAAATTTTCCCTCAATTTTTCATATAAGGTATAACCACATCTTCAGCATATACTTCTTCCTTTCAGCAGCCACTTAGTTCAAGCAAATTCCCCTAATTTTCCCATCTAATCGCACGACAAAGTTAAGCATACGTACGGCGCACGCGAGACAAGGAGTCACGCCCTATTTTCGATTTCAGTCGAACGATCGGAGAGGTAACTCCTTCTTCAGCTTATAATCATATTAATAAGGTCATGTTAAGTTTTAGTGTTCGATCTATTTGCGAGAATTTCAAGTAAAACCGTGTTTAAAGCCGATCATGTTTAAGTAAAATCATAACCGCATAACTCTTGATTTTCCCGGCAACTCTCGAACTGTTGATGTTTAAATGTTCAGTTTAGTCTATTTTATGTTCAGTATGATCAGATTTGTCGAGGAAAAGTGAAGTTTTGTCGATGAATTGGCCCACGCCGTCGCTAGAGCCTATCGCGCGTAGCCACGGGCGGCCGCGGTCCATGTCTTAGTGATTTCAGTAATCATCACGTTCCGTCCGTGGGTTTATGTTTTAAATTGCCTCATATTAATGTCCATGTCAAGTTGTTCTGGAGTTGCCGAATAATAAGGTGTTTTGGCCGGGAGACGGCGTATAGCCGTCGGCGGCGCACGGCGCGCCCGCCACGGTCTTTTCATGTTCATTGTGCAGCGGTTGCGTTTTCAGGTCATTATATTCATATTAAGTCATGTTGTGTTCAGTTATGTTAAGTTGGTCGAGATGTTTTTCAGTTTGGTCGAAGATTTGGCCGTAGGCCGTAGGCCTTGCACGTAGCGAGCCTACCGCGGCCGTGTGTTAGGTCCAGTAAGTAAATTCAGCAAGTTCCTTGTGAAGTCAGTACAATGTGTTGGAACCCACGAGGATCTCGATATGCACAAATCACAGACAAACATTCAACATAAACCTATGCGCAGCGGATCTAAAGGTTTGATGAAGAAAACTTACTGCTTAAAATTTATGTAGATCTGGCTGGCCCGGACAGTTGACCGCAAATCAAATCTTCTCGGAATCGAACAAACTTGACCAATCCAGAAAGCTGACGTCACGGTGAAGTCAACGGCGTTGACCGATCGGAAAACGGCTTTGTCACGCGCTCCCACGCGCGCGAGTAAACTTCAGCTGCTGGAACCTCGTGGTGGCACGTGACGGCGCGTGCGGCGGAGTCCGGCGGCGATCTCGACGGCGATCTCTTCGT